AATTATTATGGTGAATCTGATTTTTCAAACAGTAAAATTGCCCAGTTAAAATAACTAATTAATGATAATTAACTATAATTTATGCAATAATATTGAAAAATATGAATTTAAATGTTAATAAAATATAATTAATATCAATTAACATGAATAATAATATATATTATAGTGAATCTGATTTTTTCGAAACAGTCAAATTTGCCCAGTTATAACAATTAATTGATAGTTTGGGCCAAAATAAAAACAATTAATTGATAGTTAACTATAATTATGAGATAAAATTGCTGACAAGAAAGGTAAATTTAAATGTAATATAAATATCATTAGTATCGATTAACATGAATAATAATGTATGATGTATATTTTTTACGGTGCAATTACCAATTTGTCCACTTTAATTAAGTATATTTCATATTAAAAATTATGACAAAAAATAAAAAGAAATTTCCTTTTATGCTTTGGTTGGCCCCTCCCTCGCCTTCTCTCTCTTTGTCTGCCTAATTGTCCACCAGAGGAGAGGGGCGCTCGCAGTCTAATCTTCCCTTTCATCTCTCTCTCCAGACTGGACGTCGAGGAGCTTTCTCTCTCCTTTGTGTTTTCTGACTTTTCTCTTCTTTTTCTCCCACCGGCTAAAGCAACATCTTCTGAGTTTTGAGTCTTGAAATTAGGTACTCTTTTGGGGTTTCCTCACTTCCCCTTTTTTTACTCTTTCGTTTCTACCCCTTCTTCTAGTTTTGCTTTCTTAGCATCTTCCCCTCTATTTTGCTCCGGATCTACTTCAGATTTGACTCTAATTCATGTTCCTCGATCAAGATCGAGGTTTTGTTTAATCCCCCCATCTTCATTTTTCTGTACTCGGTTATGCTAATTTTAGTTCCCATCTGTCCAAAATAATGCTTCATCTGCTCGATTGACTAATTTGACCGGCTACCTTACTTTTTTGATCCACCAAGCCCTATCCTGTTGTATTTTTAATCTATTGGAATGGTTTGGATTTCGGATTGTTATTACTTAACATTTAAGGGTAAGGGTGTTTGGGAAATGGGAAGGAATTGCATGGTTTTGTTGGTTATTTATTGCTGTTAATCTTTACTGATTTCATCACAGCATACATGCAGCTTCGCATCTTAAGTTTTTGGTTGTTACGAATTAATTCACTTCATTTACTAATTGGGTTTTATGTTTTCTTACTTTTTCCCAAAGAATACTACCATATATTCATCCAGCAGGAGTTTTGAGGTTCCCGTAGGCTAATTTCTTTATACTTAATTTCTGATCGGATTTTTTTGTGATATATTCGGCTAGCAGAACTATTTTACTGATCAAAGGACCCATTTTGTTTATATTAAGTGTAGGCTAATTAAGTTATGATTCCTTAATTTCTGAAATTTTGTTTGTTCATATATTAGTGTAAATTTAGTATGATTTCTGATACTTACCGCGGCAAACTGACTGACAAATTCCTAATGCTTTCTTGGACAGTTCTTTCTTTCTTATTATTGAAGAAATTACCTGTTAAGTTACACTCGTGTTCTGAACAAAGACAAGATGCTATTAAATATGAGTTCTCAGTTATGTATTCGGTCGATTTGATATCAATTCAATCGGTTTATCATTTCTGATGGACACAAAAACTAGTGCAAGAGCTCCCTCCGGACAGCATCAGAAGATAGCTGCTGAACAAACCGTAGAGGCAAAAGACATCCAACCTTCTCCATCTCTGGTTTCAAAATCAGGTAAACTTGAACTGCCTACTCCTGAAAGTTCATCAAAATCTGTGCAAAGCACATCAAAGAAGAATACGGTAGTAACTTCTGAAAGCAAGAAGACAGGAATTTTAAACCAAAAGGGGCTTGCTGATTCCTCGAATAATAAATGCGGTCTTGTTGCTTCCTCGTCTGTTCCTGAGCAGGCATGTGGAGGACCTGACCATGTTATTAATGAAAATAGGGGTTCGCAGGATAGTTCTATTGATCAAGAAAAGAAAACATCAGAGTATGGAAGTGTGAAGAACAGTTCAGTTTCAGCTAAAGTTAGTGATGGGGCAAGCAGTTTTGGAAAAACCAGTGTTAGTGCCAAAGTCAGTGATCGAGCTGATTATGTTGGGAGTGGTAAGAGCAGTATCTGCAGAGGAAGCACAAGTAGTGATGTCAGTGATGAGAGTACTTGTAGCAGCTTTAGTAGTGGCATAAACAAACCTCACAAGGCAAATGACATGAGATGGGAAGCCATCCAAGCTGTTCGAGCTAGAGATGGGGTACTGGGCTTAGGTCACTTTAGACTACTGAAGAGGTTGGGTTGTGGGGATATTGGGAGTGTGTACCTCTCAGAGTTGAGTGGAACTAAATGCTATTTTGCAATGAAGGTAATGGACAAAGCATTACTAGCTAGTCGGAAGAAGTTGCTTCGTGCTCAGACTGAAAGGGAAATACTGCAGTCGCTGGACCATCCTTTTCTTCCAACATTGTATACCCATTTTGAGACAGAGAAGTTCTCGTGCTTGGTAATGGAATTCTGCCCTGGTGGAGACTTGCATACACTGAGGCAGAAACAATCAGGGAAGCATTTCACTGAGCAAGCAGTAAAGTACGTATAAGTTTGGAATCAAATTTTGTTTGATCTTTGTATAAAACATCAGGTTCTTGTTTTGCCCTGTGATTGCTTGTATGTGGTTTAGTTCTCTGTCATACTATAGTGCTTGGTTGCTTTTTTTATTTCTTAAATCCATACGTTTTCTCTGTTTAAGCATGCAGTATGCTGAAATTGGAAAGATTTATAATTCAAAATAATAATAAATGAAATAGCTAGAGAATATCCAAGTTCTCCCATCTGAAGGCTTTATCCCGCTTCAACAGTTGTTCAGGAATAGCACCAACTACCTTCAAATTATTCCATAGAAGGAGGGATGTTGTCTCTTCTTTTTTAACAAGATGAGATTACAACGGGAATCAGACGTTATTTTGCATGGTAGTTTATTCATTATAGGTGGTTTGTTTTCATCTGCAAAGTTAGTAATCGATTGAGGTATTATTGTTTCCCCATCATAATTGAGAAAAAGGGCTTTGTCCCAAAGTATATTGTCATTTTTGTGTGTGGGTGTGCGCACATTTGCTGGCCACGTGTGTGTGTGTACATGTGTGCATTTGTGTGCGTGTGCACCTGTGTGTGTGTTTTATTGCATGCATGTTCCTCTCGTGGTGTTGTGATGTGGTAGCATATGCCAACGATATGCTTGTTAAAAGAGGACCAAGGGCCTGTTTGTCTGAGAGTAAAAAATAAGTGATTTTTAGGTTGTTTAGAGATTTTATAAAAAGCAGTATTGTTTTATGATTGGTTACAATAATACAAAGAGACTATTATTTAATTATTTTTTGATTTTATGATATTTCTATGATTCTTATATATATATATATAATGATTTATTATTTAATTATTTTAAAATTTTATTATATCTTCATGTATCTCTGCATTTTTATGGCATTCTCTCTCATCTACTATATTAAATTATTTTCATAAGGTATTTAAAATAATCAAAAATCTGTTTTTCCATTTTCAGATTCTGAATGTTTTGAGAAGTTTAAACAAACATCATAAAATCTCATAACAGATTTTTTTTTTTTTTTCATGAAAATAGCTTAAACAAACAGGCCCCAAGTTTTGGATACTGAGCACTTAGCTTTAGAAGCTGTCTAGTATTCAAGTTGAAGTTAGATTTTGAGTGGCTAGATGTTCTTGGCTTGAAACCAGGATTGATGCATTATTGAAGGATGGGTAACTTAAATAGGGAAATTCAATTCACTATCATATGATGCATTTCTCTCTTTTTCCTTGGTAGATTCTTGTATTCTAATGCATGCACTTGCTGGGTAAATATGCTTTTCTAAAACGCCTTGAGGACATGGTGCTATGCCTAGATAGATATTAGGTTGCTCATAGGTTGCTGCGCTCTGTCCTTTCTTGTATTGCGGTTTGGTTATGTCATAGAGGAAACCAAGACTAATTAAAGAACATTTTACTTTAAGTTACTCCTTCAGGTCATATTGAGAATATAGAGAGGTTGTGATCTTATTTTTGAGTCCTAAAAATTTGTATGCATGTTACTGATTTTACTTTTTATAGCACATGGCTGCTTTTATGTTAGTCTATATAAAGTTTGGTCATGTAATCCAGAATATTTTGGATACCAGATTTGTGGATGATTTTACCTTCTTTTATGTGATGTTTCCAACAAATAAGTAAGCTTGGACTATGCTGGGAACTTGAGTGGTTTGGTTGCTTTATAGAGTATTCAAGTGTGTAATGTGTTGGTTGTCCCACCTCAATAGGTAGTTTTGGGGGAAGATTCCCCAGTCCACCCGTGGAAGTAAAAGACAGCATTCAACTTTAAAGTCTTGGATGATTCCTATAATTGCAGGAAGTGGACTAAATATCTGACAGCCAGGATTACAAGATTGGATTGGAACATAAAAAGCCATTATTGCATCCAAAATTTTCACATAACCACTTGTACCACTGTAGAATATTTTTATGTATTGATTAGTGATCAATCAAATTGATATATTTATGTATCTATTGTTAATAGCTCATTACTATTCAGTGATTGTTCTGCTTCATTTACGTTGATAATATACTCTAACTTTGACTTGGGAGTGTACTCTGATTTCTTGATGTCTTTTTTGGAGTGTAACAACATTTGCTCACTAGAAATCAGACGATGATACTCTTAAAGCCTGGTTTGGGTTGATGTTGAGGGGTAAATAAATTGCCTGATCTAGCCACGTGCGTTAGAGTTGATAGTAACATTTTTTTTTTTTTGGGGTAAAGAGTTGATAGTAACATTTTAGTTTCTTGTCAACTTGCAGATTTTATGTAGCTGAAGTCTTGCTTGCTTTGGAATACCTCCACATGCTTGGCATTGTCTATCGTGACCTCAAGCCAGAAAATGTCCTTGTGAGAGATGATGGACATATTATGCTCTCTGACTTTGATCTTTCTCTCCGCTGTGCTGTCAGTCCAACTCTTGTTAAAACCTCTTCAACGGAATTGGAGCCTTTAAGAAAGAATCCTGTTTATTGTGTCCAGCCGGCTTGTATTGAGCCACCTTCCTGCATCCAGCCATCTTGTGTTGCTCCTACAACATGCTTTTCACCCCGGCTCTTCTCTAGCAAATCAAAGAAGGATAGGAAACCTAAGACTGAAATTGGAAACCAAGTGACTCCATTACCTGAGCTCATTGCAGAGCCTACCGATGCTCGTTCTATGTCATTTGTTGGGACCCATGAGTATTTGGCACCTGAGATTATCAAGGGTGAAGGTCATGGGAGTGCAGTTGATTGGTGGACTTTTGGAATCTTTCTATTCGAACTGTTGTTTGGTAAAACTCCTTTTAAGGGATCTGGGAACCGAGCTACATTGTTTAATGTTGTAGGCCAGCCTCTCCGATTTCCGGACTCACCTGTTGTGAGTTTTGGAGCCAGGGATCTTATAAGGGGTTTGCTTGTAAAAGAACCACAGCACAGACTGGCATATAAGCGCGGGGCCACCGAGATAAAGCAACATCCCTTTTTCGAGGGTGTGAACTGGGCATTGATCCGATGTGCTACCCCACCAGAGATACCCAAGCCTGTAGAGTATGAGAAGATACCTTCCCCAGCATCTTCAGGCAGTGAAAAGGTGGTCCACCACATGTCGATTCCTGATAAAGGTTCTGATAAATATCTTGAATTTGATTTCTTCTAGTTAATAGATGGTATTTTTTCCCCCCTTTGATACCCTGAAAACTAGGCGGTGTTGATTGCAAATGGGTTCTGATGAAAGGGAGGGACTGTTTTTCCAGTGTTTTAGGAACAGATGGTCAGGAATTATGTTTTCTGTTAGCTATAACAGTTCAAACTTGTATGGCATAATTAATGCATTGTTTCTCTCTCACCGTTAGAAGCCTCAAGGGCGTATTGAAAGTTTTGGTTGGCTCATGCTGGTATGATGCTCCTCCCGAGGAATTTGTTGGAAGTATATTATTTTATTATCTGGAATCAGCAATATATAGTGCTTTTAAAAAAATAATAAAAAAGATCAAATGTTAATGTTAATAATTAGAAGGCCTACAAATGTAAATATAGCGAGATGTTGTTAGCAGTGACTGACTCTAGATGGAATATGAGCACTGCGATGATGAAAGATACGAAGATCTTCAAGCTGATAACCTGATTGTTGAGAAATATCCATGAAATTTTAGATCCAGAAAAGGATCAAACGCAGATATGGAAGACTGAAGTGTTGAGGGTCTCTCCTTGAATGGAATTTCGTATCAGAATTTTACACAACTTTTCACCGTTGAGGGCGATGGAAGCTCCACCGTTGGTTGTCATCGTTTTTTATTTTTGGTTATTTGAATTTTTCACTGTTTATGTGCAACGGATTTTGTGAGAAGATGATTTGATACTTGCTCAATATAAGTAAGAGGTGAAAAATGCTAAGGTTGGATGTTCTTGTTTGCTACCCTTGTATTGCTGTCAATTATAAAATTCCAATTGCAAGCATTCTTGAGAGAACAAAAATACATTGAGAATTTTTTGATAATTTGGGATGGGGATTTATTGAGAGTACTATGTAGAGCTAAATTTCGCTTTAGCCAAATAAAATGTAGAAGGAAAAAAAAATCCCTTCTAGAATATCAAGTCTACCTTTTCAGAGTAGATTTTAAATAGATAGAATCCAATTGATTAAACTAATCTATGAGATACTAGTGGAGTGAATAGATAAATAGCTAAACCAAATGACTTAAGAAAAAGGATAATTACAGAAAATATAGTGCTCAATTGCAATGGGAAAAGAACTTTTAGTCAGGAGTTCTTGGTTCGGTTTCTTTTCTCTGGAGCATTATGTACTTAGAATATAATACAAATGAGGAATGCTGATAAGAAACGAGGTGTTCATTTTCCAAAATAAAAGTTCATCATAAATTTAGTTCTTTTCTTCTGCTTCTCTTTCCAAATCCAAACGTATCCTTACGATAAGCATAAAAATATCAATATAAAATTAGGAAACATAATACTACAGTTCTTATATTTTCACCTCATTTTTAATCAGGTCCTTAAAGTTATTTTCTTTTTTATTGGATCCTTGTTGTTTATTGAGGACTAACAGCTTGAACCAGCGTTTATGATAACTTGATGAGTGAGGTGGCTGACAGCTCAGCATACGCATACACATGGATAAGTGAGTCATATTCAATTGAAGGCCTGGCTTGGTACAGTGAAATGCTTTTTGATAGAATGGAAATGGGAGTAATTATAATGTTCTCATGTGAAAAAGACTCAACAACGGAAAGCATAGAAATCTGGAAGGATTAACGTACAAGCATAGTATTGAAAGTCAAATCAATCCACCTTATTAAATTAGTAAACAATTAAACTCATATTCTAACTGGTTTAATAAAATGCTCTGTTTATGATCAGTTTGATTATAGTTCAACGATAGTTTTAATCATTAATCATAAAATTAGTGTTTTAATTACTTCAATTGACTGGTCCACAAGAACAGGCCTAGAAACAACTCCATGGGGGAATAGTTGGGGGTACAAAAGTTAGTTTAAGCATTTCTTAACAAATAAAGATAAAGCATCGTTTTAAAAAATTCTGCACCATTGCTTCCCCCCAAATCGTCACCGAGTCTCAGTACTTTGAGCATAAACACATGAAATGTAAAAAAAACATGGATGAAGAAACAAGAATTGGATTAAACTTGAGAACAAGACGAAGTTAGCTAGCAACCAAAATGAAATCAGCAACAGAATTGTCAAAGATGAGTGGCTAACAAAAACGAGAAGGGAAAAAACGAAAGCACAAATAATGGACAAAAAAAAAAACAAAGAAAGAAACAGTCACATAAATCCATTAAAGATTTTTAATTAAAGCCCTTAAGAACCGTCCACTTAGAAAAACAAAAACTCTTGATTTAACCACACATACAAGCTCTGTTCCTCTGAGCTCACTCGCCGACTGTGACATAATAAGTTTCATGACCATCCAAGGGTCTCACAGGAAGTGAAAGAGAATAGGTTGCCGGAAACGGTAACATTCTCCTCGATTCCGGCAGCGATATCTTCCAGAATGGGACCGCCGCGAGAACCACCGCTGCTGATAGGGGGGGTGTGTGTGTTAAACTGTTAATGGGGGTGGAGGCAAGGAACAGCACGGCCCAAACTTTTTAAAAATAAAATAAAATAAAATAAAATACGAGAGTTATATATTTTTAATTCTTTAAATTGATACGTTACAAAAACCTTCAAGTATTTAGATGAAACTTTTATTTTAATTTTATATTAGTAAAATATTGATATCATTTAATTTTATTTTTATATATTTAATTAAAAAATTATGAAAATTATTACTAACAAACATTTTCAAATACTACGCCAAAAATCTTAAGATATATTGAATGCTATGTGCTTGATATTTTTACAAAATTACTTATCCAAAAATTGAAAGTTTATGATTAAGATTTGTTCTTCTAGAAAAAAGTTAGCTTTTATGTAATAATCAAGCTATTGAAATTTATTATGTGAATGATTTTTTCAAGGGAGAATTGCCCAAAAAAGACCTCACCAGCAATTTATTTGTTAATAAGGACTTGGGAAATTTCCTAAAACTTCCTCCTTCTCTGGCATTAATTCCCATGTGCGTAATGATCATTTTGTCATTATAACATTTGAAAAAAAAAACACACACACACAAGAAGCTCCTCTCAGGCACGCGATCCTCAGCAACCAATGTTCAATTCTGTCTGAAGAAGCTCTGCGCTCAACGACAAAGTTGACAACTTTGTTAGGTAGGTTCGCTGCATTTTGACTTTGTTAGGTTAGCCATTCTTTCTTTTTTGGTATTTGTTTAATGACAATTAAATTTCATGTTGAGTTTTAAATTTTTACTCAAAGAGTTCAAAAGAGGTTAAATGAAGTATTTGCTCTACAACTTGCTCCTCCCATAAATATGTTTTCTCACATTGTAGAGGTTAGTGACACCTAATGTAGAATTTAATAGGATGATGTTTTAATTTTTCATTGACGAGTGTTTCTTTCCTTTGACGTTGGAAGATTATGGATTTATATAATATCCTTATGAGCCTTAAGAGTAAGGAACAAAAAGAAATATTCCATTACTTTTATATAGGGGGAAGGATTATTATTAATAAAAAGGAAGGTGCAATATGTTGGTGGCAGAGCAAATGGAAGGATAGTAAGCACTTTAATGTCAATTGATGAGTTAAAAAGTAAAATGTGTTCATGTTTTGGGTGTGAACTTAAAGGATTGGAATTGAAGTGCACACTGTAAGAATTAGGTAAAATCACCTTAGTAGACTTGAAAGATGATGGAAGAGTTCAATAACTAGTTGAACTTAATGAAAAATATGCACATGTTTATATAGTTGAATGTGTAAATGAGTGCAAAAAAGAAGTTGAACCTATGTTAATTTGTCAAGGGTTAGATCATATAAAAATGTCATTTGGCTTATCTGATGTTAGATCTATATCAAGTAAGGGAAGTGAAGAGCTTCCATGTTTAATTCAAAGTGCACCTACTCCTGTTCCTAAGCATGGTGCAGCCAAGTGGAAGAACTTACTTTTGAGCGTATTCAAGGAATCATTATACAAGTATAGTTTGGCACATAAGTTTGCATACAAATATGTGAAGAATAATGTAAGAAATATGATAATGAAGTGCATAATTGATAGGTGTCCATGAAAGATGACTATTTATGCAATGAGCCGTGATTCAAAGTTCTTATGTGTGCACAATAGAAATATATAATAATACTATGAATTGATACTCATGACATGCGCTCTACCTCATTAGGCCTGCCTGTCACAAATGGTGAAAGTATTGCAAATTTTATCACCTTTTAAGCCTTTCTCAACTTAACCTCATCTTTACTATTTTCATCAGAATAAATAGCTTCTAGAATTGTAATGTTGTAAAAAACATAGGGAATTGTTTCCTTACAATCAACAGGTGGTTTCAAGTCTATATTAATTGTTTCATTAACATAGCCCACTGGTTCTAAGTCAACATTAGGTGCTTCACCCCAATTTCTTTGCTCAAACTTACCCCTTTCTCTTATATCCATATCCATATTCTCAATAATATTTTTCTCCCTTATATCCAACAATACTCCTTCAACCACAGACCTCATAATTTGCCCTTCTCTTTCAGTTTCTCTTTCACCTTGTGTTGCCCCTAATGGATCTACTTCACCTAATTTCCCCTATTGTTCCATTTTCAAAAGCTCTCTCTTGCAAGATTATGACCAAGCATTCCCATTACGTGTGCATAAATTCCTTTACTCACAGGAGCATTGAATACGATGATTAGAGGAATCATTAGTTCACACACATTGTCTTTTACTTTTGGATCTGTATTAATGAAAGATAACAATAGCCCTTGCACATTGGACTTCTTCAACTAAATAATGTCATTGACTTTCTCATCATCCCAACATATTAGGAGCTCATTTTGTAATAGTGGTGCAACATCAACTAATGAAAAATTCTCAAATAACAATATCTGCATTAAAATATATGAGTTAGCATGGCTAACCAATTAAATGAAAACAAAATTTAAATTAAAATATTAAGGTTTACATTCTTACCATCAAAAGATAAAAGCATCTACCAAAATATTTCCCTATTTTCCTTCTTCTCAATACATCCTAATAATCTCCAACCTTCTTCATCAACTCTTTCATCATAAGATTGGACCAATTGTATGAACATAATGTGCTTTTATCACAACATATCTTCATTAGCCATTATGTGACAAGTTTAGATGCAAGAGGGCATGACAATGTCCCATGCATAAGTGAAAAGTACAAACAATGACTAAAACTTTTGATCATGCTCCCTTGGCATGAGCATGCTCTTAAGGTTACTAAATCTTTTTCTATCATACTTCCTCTTAAACTCCAAATATATGTA